TGGTCTGTATTGCTGCCTACTGGGGCTTGGCTGACACAGACTGCTTCCTACTCTCTGCGCTGTCTCCTGGTCAAGGTTCAAAGCCATCTATTAGCAGCTTGCATATTAATGATTTACGAACGTGACTTCTTTTATGGAGAGCGCTCCTAACCCACAGCACTTCTGCCTCCACACACATCTACCATAGCCAGTGTCTTAACAGCCAGACAGGTTTGTGGTTGTTCTGTGCATATCCCCAAAATCAAAATGGCTGGACTGGGTGGAAATTTGACCCAGTATTAGATGCGGTAATGGGATTTTTGCCTCAGCAACTAAATCTTACTTCATGTAAGCTAAAAATCTGTCAGGCAGAATTCAACCTTTTGGCATCTTCCAGCATCCCTGAAACCAGAGTAGAGGGAACATTCTCAATCCATTAGGGGTGTGTGAAACAGGCCCTATTCGATTCAGATTTGGCCCAAATCAGGGCCAGTGATTCGATTAGTTGATTCGGATCACTGTCTCCAATTTGATTCGGCCAAATCCAAATCTGAAGATTCGATGATGATTCTGAGAATCAGCGGTTTGGACACAGCTTTAAAAGCTTTTCTACATACCTCTAGATAGCAGGCGGCTCATGAGTGCTGCGATGCTGGGGTACATGGAGCATCCCACAGAAGTGCAGGGGGCTCCCCAGCACGTTCAGCAGCAGAACTGGAAGTGGACCAGAAACACTTCAAGTCCATTTCCAGGTCCACCAGGGAGTGTGCTGGGACCCCCTGCCCCCCACCCCCACACTGCTCTGGCTTGGTGATCAGCCGCAGGGGGACCCCAGGTGCTCCCCCAGACCCAGGAGGCACCAGTCGCTGAGCCGAGGAGTGCAGGGGGCCCCCCAGCACGCTCCCTGGCAGTCCTGGAAATGGACTGGAAGTGCTTCTGGTCCACTTCCAGTTCTGCTGCCGAGCATGCTGGGGAGCCCCCCACGCTTCAATGGGATGCTCCACACGCCCCAGCATCGCACTACTCATGAGCTGCCTGCTACCTAGAGGTATGTAGAAAAAAACATTTAGAGCTGTGTCTATGTCTGAATCACTGAATCTTTCCGAATCTCTCTGAATCGATTTGAAGGGTTCCGATTCGATTCGGAGAGATTAAAGGGTCCTCTGATTTGTGCGGATTCAGAGATTTGGCCACTGAATCAAGCTGAATCTCCACCAAATCAAATCAGGGACTGAAGCTTCACACAGCCCTACAATCCATCTGCTTCCATCTGCAGTTCCTCTTGTGTTTTTATTGAATTTTTCATAGTGTAAGGTTCCATATTTCTCCTGTTTTATATTTAAGAAAACTTCCTCTTTCACAGACAATCCAGGCCATACTAGGTATTTCTTTTTGTCCACCATAATCCAAAATTAAGCCCCTGGTTTGCAATTTAAGGTTGCTGCACAGCTCAGCTTTCTCATTAATTTCCCTCTAACCAGACATATGCCAATGGAAGAACTAGCCAAAATTTAACTTTTTTGTGGTGAGCTCACCCAAGCTACCCACTGCATAAAGCTCAGCCAGTGGGTTTGGAAATGGGCTGTGCTAAAGGCTCTTCACTCAAGTGAGGTTACCACTCTTACAGAGCCAAAGACATTCCTCTCCCACAAAATACTTGAGAAGCAGTGAAGCTATGGATGCAACTGCAGCTAGAACTCCATCTGCTACACAAACCAGCTCCATCACCATGACCTTCTGGTTGTTACCTGCTACCTAAACTCATAAGAAACTTTCTCTCTCTATTCATAATTTCCACCTTCATGAAAATAGGTTCTCAGCTGCTTCTTTTTTTCCATCTGGCTGAAATGATCTAGTTGGGGATGGTCCTGCTTTGAGTAGGGGGTTGGACTAGATGACCTCCTGAGGTCCCTTCCAACCCTCATTTTCTATGATTCTATGATTTTTTGAGCCAAGTCATGTATGACATCCCTTTAACCCTGATCCCTTTCCCAACTTTACCTCAGAGTCAGTCCCATCTTGGTTACTTTCCTTCAGAGTGAAGAAAAGTTCCAGTACACTTTTTGGCCTTGCACCCTCTACCAGAAGAGAGGCCCTTCTGAGTAGGCAGGATGGTCTTGTGACTGGGGCACAATGCTGGGGGAAGTACTGGTGATCTTCCTCACATCTCAGCTCCTGATTCAGTAGCTTTCTGTGCTAGACTGCTATCCCTGTTAATACACAACTGCTGTTGAATACACTAACATCACTAAATGGGGTGTGTTTTCCTGCAGATTTATGAAACTCATACTATTGCTTGCTCTGAATTCCAGCACGATGTGTCTGCTGAGGAGCAGAATTTCCCTGCTTACCCACCTCTACAGACATTGATTATCTGAACAGACTTACACTTTCAGGCACAGGCACTGGCATTGGTATCCCCAGTCTCACACCTACCTGCAGGTCCTCTGGAGTCTTGTAAACACAACTGAGTGTGATTATGCGAGCACTGGAGTACATGGTCATTCCAAGACACTGCTGGGAACTTATGAATCACCAGCAAAAATCCTAGGAGCTCTCATTCACTAGTACATCCTGACAAAACTCAGCCTGCTTCATCATTATCAATCTACCACTGTTATACCTGGACACTGGTACAGCTTTCTTGTGGCAGGTGCCTGTCTTGTCATGGAATAGCGTGTGCCAATACTGGTACTCTGCATGCATACTCAGTTCTATTTTGCATGCTCAGAACTGTGTCCTGTATATTAGGATTGCTAGGGAGACAAACCTTTCTATCTTTATAGGAGTACTGAATTTCCATAGGCCCTGGATATGCACCAATGAGCAAAGAGGCCTCTTTCTACATGCTACTCCTGCCCTTCAGGCACATTTTTCATCCAATCCCATCTGCCTCTCTACAGTTCATCTTGCACAGCCCTTGTGGCTGACTGAGGTTGTTATTTGTGTAAAACTGCAGATTTCTTTCAGATCTCCCTAGAGTTGCTTGTGCAGGGGAAGAGCCATCTCTTGTGGTGAGTGTCCCATTTTGCAGGCTGATGCTGAGTGGGATGGGAAGAGGGTCCCAGGCCTTGCATTTAGAGTCAGCTCTTGTACAGGCACTTATACTTTCCCAGTCTACCTGCCCACAGGTCAAACATGGTCTACATCGTTTTTGCTAAGAGGTGAGACAATGGATTTATACGGGATGGCTTGGATAGGGATGATCCTGCCTCCTGTAGGGGGCTGGACTAGGTGATATCTGAGGTCCCTTTCAGCTTAGCTTCTCTATGATTCTATGATGTGGCCCAGCAAAAGGCCTGCAGGTTGGGTCCTTGCCAATTGTGCTTCATTATGTTAAATTCATTTTAATGTACTTAGGATAAAACCTTTAACTCTGTTCTCCAGTGGGCAGGAGCAGTACCTTCTGTTTGTCAATCCCCAGGCGTGCTTATGGCTCTCTATAAACAACAAAAGGAAATACAACATCAAAACAAAACCTGATGGATTGTGTGTCCATTTAGCCACTTGTTTTGAATTAACTGACCACAGAGTTGCTACATATGTCACAGGAGTTGATGTTGTTTCTTAGTTCCCCTCTGGAGCCATGTGATTATAAGTTTATAAGTCAGAAATTTAGACTGTATTTTTGTTGTTTTTTGAAGGAAGTTTCTAACCGTCATAATGGCAGGGATAAAGTTGGGTGCACATTCAAAACCCAGGCAGAACATACAAAGAATCTAAACTGCGTTGGCCTGTTTTGTTTTGTTTTTGAGTGGCATTATTTTTAAGCCAATCTAATGATCTTTTTTAATGCTTGGGGCTGGTAATACAGTAAACCAGCTTCCACTTTTTTGATGCTTTGATTCAGGTTCAATAACAACTGCTAGCATACGTTGTTAAGTCCTCTTTTCTGACTGCTGTACTAAGTCAAATGTTCATGCAACCAAAACAGCCATAGTTTTTAAAAGACCAAAGAGTCTTACATGGCATAAGAATATCTAATATTCATTCCTGGAACACTCAAAACCCCTATGGCCCAACAGACTGTGCAACCCTTATTCCTATGGCAACCTACTCATGTCTGAATAAGGGCTCATCAAATGAGGATTGCAGTAGCTGAGCTCCAGTTAATAATTTTGATAATTTAAAAAAAATCCTGCTCCTTTCACTTCTCTATAACAACTGCTTTATTGGAGAAAAGGGAGAGAACAACAGTAATTTATATTGCCCTGTCTGATTACAGCTCTGAAACACCTAAAATCAGATCAAAACAGTTCACCCTTTAAATGACCTGTGAAATGACAGATGCCATCAAAATAATTGTAATAGTCACAAGCTGCCATAAAACATATCATTGTTTTAAAAAAAACAAGGACTGTAGGGACAATGGAAAAAATATATCTTGGTGCTTAATAGATCTTAGTTGTACAGGATCTCTGAAATTTAACATGCTCAATAAAGCCCTACAGTCTTCTTTCCACTGATCTGGTCTTGGACACTGGGTATTTTATGAAATAGGAAGGGGGAGAAACCAGCTCCACTGGTTGCATCTGGAACACTGAAATGTGGAGCACAGAAGAGACTAAATCTAGACCTGCAGGAGTGGCATTCTGCATTTTGCTCCGAAAAAAATCAGAGGCATTTTCAGCAGGCCCGGCTGTATATCTTGTTTGTACTGTTTTGTGTGGATGGATCCAAGCAAGCATATTACTAATGCAATGGGTTGCCTCCCCACCCAGGAAACAGGTACAACATGAGTGAAAGGAAGGTATTGGCAGTACCAGCATGATGCATCTTGTAGCCAGTGCCTTGTTGTTGTTTGGAGCTGGAGCTAAAACCTTGGAAGCCCTTGTGAATGTGTCTGCCCTTGCCGGACCTGCCACTTAGGATTAAGCCAAGAGACATAACATCTGTTCATAGTGCAGTGCACTCAAAAGGCAGCTAAAGTAGAGAATCCAGTGTGAGGCGGCTCCTCTGATCAGAGCATTTGAAAAGAGCTGTTCCTCAAGTACCGGCAGCAAATTGCAGGGAAAGCTGGGTGCACCAGTTTGATTTACCAAAGGAGGGCTGGGTCAGGAGCCAGTCATGTCTTGTCTGCCTGGGATTAGATGAGTCTCATTCTAGCTAAAAGCTGCAATGATTATCTAGGTGTTGGCTTGCAGGGGGGGGAGCAGTGGAACAGCTGCAGCCAGACCCCTTTTGTGACGCATGGATTTGGAGCATGGAGACTAGTCGCATTACCCCAATTTAGTCAATTTCCCGGACTAAAGAAGAGGATAAGTGACTTTGGGTTGGGAGATAATGTCCTACCTCAAGCCTACTGGGCAAGAACTCGAGCGTTTTGATGGACTGTCTCTCATTTACTGGTAAGCATGGCTGTTTGCAGAAGGGTTGGATATTGTATGTTTTAAATTCACTTTTCCACAGAGAACTGGGTAGCACTCAGTAAGCCTGTGTGTGTGTGTGTGTGTGTGTGTGTGTGTGTGTGTGTGTGTGTGTGTGTGTGTGTGTGTG